CCAAGGCAAAGCTCAAAGCTGGGTGCCCATCAGGCACCTCTGTGGCCTCCATACCATCCCCATAGCCACAACTCAAGTCCTCCTGTGTAAAACTTAAACATAACACAAATATAAGCAAACCACTTTCCAAACTAAACTTTACCCCCAGTCCAGGTCAGTTCCCACCACAAGCTATACTTGCCCTTTAGCTACATTGTCTAGCTCCCCTGGGTAGCTTAGGTGTCCATGGGCCTGTTTCCTGAAGCCCCCCTCTCTCAGGAGCTCCTTACCCCACAGCATGAAGGGCCAGACTGCTTGCTTTGCCTCTGGCCCTGGGTTTATATGTCTGTAAGCCCCACTTCTTTCAGTCATGTGATCCCCAGCCAAGCACAGGGGTTTCCTTTTTGCCTAATGGCCTTTCTGGGCTCCCCTGTTGCAGCCCCATACAGCAGACATAGCCACCTGCACTCTCTACTTGATGTGAAAGGAACTTCTGGCTCTTTTTATATTTTATTTTGTGTCTCTTGACAGTTTCCTCCATTTAGTTTTAAAAAAATCAGTTTATATCTAGTAGTTATTATCCAGTGTAATATGCTCATTTCTAACTTTCACTGTCTTTAAAAGAGAACTTGTAACGCATCCTCTTTTACTTTTAAAAACTAACTGGCGGGGTAGTTGCCAGTATAAGAAGTCATTAGTCATGTGTTTTTATGAGGATTTCAGTGGTTGCAGTTGTAAACAGCAAAACAAAATGACACACTGTATTCTTCAATAGTGATTATATAATCAAATATATAGCATATCACGCCGCAGTGGTCATAACAAGTTAACATGGAACAACAGTTACGATACTGTGGGATCTGCGGTGCTGTAGATGTTGCTGGCAGCTGTTCAGTGTATGTTGTTAAACTGCTATGCATACTCGAAGAAATACATCTTTTTATAATAGTCATGGAGGAAAAAATGTCATAAGAAATAGGGGAGAGATTTGTATGTCCAAAACTGGGCCCCTGGGGTCTCCTGAGAACATTCTCACCCCTTCCTCCGAGGGGTTCTCTATAGGTCAGAATCTGCACACCTGCAACTTGGGAGGTGTAGGAGTAGGGCAGCCATGTATTAGGTGTGTGGGGCAGTTTGGGCTGGTACTCTGTGCAACTGATCTCCATCAGCTCTGAAGACACTATTTAGGTAAGGGCTCATCCAACACTCTTTATGTGAGACAGTGGTGGCAAGGGAAAGTTCAGATGAATACAGCTGCTTTTGAGCCTCAGGACCAATACCTGAGGCTAGGGACAGACATCACACATAAACCAGTTGAAGTGATCAGAAACTGTTTTAAACCTGTAACAGAACAGACATTCAGTGCACATAAACCAGTTTCAAAATGGCCGAAACCGGTTTAAGATAAACCTGGTTGAATATAGTATCAGACTTAACTGATGGCCCAAACTGATTTATGCAATGTCTGTCCCAGACCTGAGAGGCTATGTGGTTTCAGCAGTTCCTCCATGTCTTAGGGGCCATTCCACAGATCCTATCTGGAGGAGGAAGGGCACCCTGTGCTGAAAAGCCAAGCTTTTCCAAGGAGTCAGTATAATCTGAATCACTGAATAGTTTCATACAATCATCTTAGTATACTAGAATGAAAAATAGAAACAATAAAATACAGCATTATGTTCTCTCTTCTCAAACCTGGAAACATCTCTTTGACTTCAAGGAACGATTAAGAGTATAAAAGAATTTGAATTAAATTAGAGTCTTTTTACCAGGGAGTCTGGGAGTAGCTACAACAGCACAAGGCCCTGATTCAGCAAAGCACTTTCATGTGCTTTGAAAGTCACTTCAGTACATGCTTAAGTGCATTAATGAGTACAGCTGGGATTATGCACATGCTTAAAGGTAAGCACCATACTTCTGAGTTTTTGTCAGTCAGGTACTTAAATACTATAGAAAACGTGGATGGAAGTACTGCCAGTTTGCATAGATGCCTGTGACCTCTGGCTTTCCCTCAAAACATGGAAGCTCCATTGAGGTAGAAAACCACATGCCTGTGCCCTCTGGAAACATCTCACTCTGCAGGAGATGATACAGAGTGACCTCTTCTCATGCAAGTTCACACAGATTTCAGCTTACCTGATGATGAGAATGATTATGCTCCAGAGTTTATAAAATGAAACATGACATTGCAAGCAGTTGTTGACATCCTGCAGTAAGTTTGCAAGAAGGAGAAGGACAAATAACGAATTGCTTTGTCATTTTTAAAGACTTCTTTCTGGAGGAAGTGGAATGGTCAGTTTTAAAGCTGTTCACAGTGGAGACTTGGGTGAGGAAAGCTTGAGGGGAAGATTAAATGACATTGGAGGAAATCAGGAGAGCTGAAATTGTGGGAGGAGAGAGTGGATGAAGGAAAGAGTAAAAGGGAAACTAATAGGAAATGAGGATCCAGAGGCTGAGGAGGAGTAGGAGCAGCAGCAGGGTGGGACAAAGAGGAGCATACCTGAGGTGATTAGAGACGGAAGTTAAAATCCTGTTGGAGAGAGATCAGTAAACATAATAGTCCAGAGCTGAAAAAATGAATATTAGAATCTGCTGACATCCCTTCTTGTTGATGCAGAGCTACTGGCAATTGGTGTTTTCCAGGGTCTGATGCTTTTTATATCATCCTCAGCAAGTTGCTAGGTCTGGGCCTGGTTTTTGTGAAGGAGGAGTGGCTGTTGGGACCTAGCGTCCTTGAAGGGCTACCTTGGATCTGGAAAGGGAGGAGCTGACAGGTCTGGCTCTC